TTGTGCCGGTGAGTTCGCTGGCAGCGCAGGTGTGGGCTATGGAGGAGACAGAGGGAGGAAATCAAGAGCAGAGGAGGAAGTGGTGGGCATTCAGATCTCGACGCCGCTTCCCCGCTGGCCCGGAGGAATTCGTGATGGGAGCTGTGATGGCCATACCCACTCCAGGGACTCACTGGGTGCCCATCCAGATCGAGGACAGCGGGACAGAAACAGAGGAGGAGCCGCCAGATCTAGGAGAGGGGACGAGCCAGATGGTGGAAGAGAAAGGAGAGGGGAAGAAGACGAAGGAGAAGAACTTGGCCCTGCGCAGATCTCCATACTTCCTGCGTTGCTCGCCACGTCTTCAGGAGGCGGCGAAGTTCGCGGCGGATGGCTGGGCTTATATTGTTTCCATATAATGTCCGATCTTGGTGCTTCTCTTTTTAGACGATGAGAGGATGGACAAGACCAATGTGTTTTTACAGGCTGGTTGCTGCCAATTAATTTGAGAAATCATTGACCCAACTAAAATTGTGAATGAAATCCAAAATTAAAATATCCAAACTAAATGAGAAAGCTCGTTGAGAAATAGTTAACCCAGTCAAAATCGTGAACCAAATTCAAAATAGAACACTAATCAAACGAGAAGGCCTAAAATTAGAAAGCATAATGAATTAGATATGTGATCAAAGTATATACGATTGTTGAGCACCTTATTAGACGAGCATTTGGACGAGATGTGTGTATCACTATTCACCACCATATGTGAACTTTGATGCATGCATGGCTCATATCGTAGCGGAAGAGTACGTAGGTGTACGGCTGCAGCAAGTGATCACACACACTCATGATTGCGAACCGTGAGCATACTGGTAGAGTAATTGACGACGAGCAGGATGTTGACACGAAACTCGCGCGGCGACTTCAGAGGCGATCGCGAAGATAAGCACGACATCGGCGATGACCTCCATGCCGACGATGATCGTCACATCGACGACGAACTCCGTGTGGGAGACTAATCTCGTGCCGGAGACAACCGGCGCAAGGGGCGCGGCGATCACCACATCGGCGGCGAATTCCGGGAGGGCGGAGACGGACACCGCTCCAGCGACGACCACATCACCGACGACTGCCTCGATGATGACCACATCAACGACGACCGCATCAACGACGACCGCATCGACGAAGACTACCGCACCGACGAAGATGATCGCACCGACGACGACCGCACTGATGAAGACGACTGCACCGACGACGACAACAAAAGGGAGACCGGATCTCGGGAGAAACGCGGCAGCGAAATTCTCACGCGCAACGACGAGCCGAGGGGATATGGCGTGATCGAAGACGAAGCTTGGCGGGTTCTGTACATACCTAATTTATTTCATGCGGGGATTTTGCAATACAGAAGAGGAATCCTTCTCATTCAAGGTACGATTCAACAAATTTTGTTGATTAATGAGGAGGGGAGGATTATTGATAGTCGAGGCTTGAGAGATCGGGAGAAAATTTCATGGAGTTCGGTGGTGTGGTTGCCCTGCCACG